GTTTTTTTCAATGCCTAACAGCAGAAAAGGCTTTCTAGCAGTGCCTAGAGGCTTTTTATAGCAGTTCTGGAAGTTTTAGACCAGTTGGCCACGTTTTTTTACGGATATTTTCAATCTTGTACTTTTACAATCTTCTGTTCCCATGTGTTTTAAGAAAACTACCTTATTCCAGTGCTCATCCCCTTGCTGTTTTCCTTGTTTACCCATGACTGCGTGGCCAGACACAGCTCCAATTCCATTCACAAATATGCTGATGACACTACCATCATGAGCCGAATCACTGCTAAAGATGAGACAGCCTACAGGGATGAGGTCAGGAACCTGGTGGAGTGGTGCATTGACAATAATCCCTCCCTCAATGTCAGCAAAACCAAAGAACTGGTCATCGATTTTAAAAAACAGGGTGGGGACCACAGCCCTGTTCACATCAGTGGGGTGGCTGTTGAAATGGTTTGCAGCTTCAAGTTCCTGGGTACCTTCATCACTAATAATTTAATGTGGTCCCAGCATGTAACTGGAGCGACAGAGAAGGCACAACAGCACCTTTACTTCCTCAGACAGTTGAAAAAAATTGGTCTATCTTCAACTGTCCTTACCACATTTTACAGGTGCGCTATTGAGAGTGTGCTCACGTGTGGTATTACAGTGTGGTTTGGCAGCAGCCTGACGTTGTCACGGATGTCAGAAGGGACAAACCATGGAGAGGCAGGAGAGTGGAAAAAGACCCCATGCGTAGCGGTGGAATGGGGGATTAACCCAGGCTCAGCAGTTCAGGAGTCGTATAGAAACCTATGCCCTCAGGCAGCGGACGTGGGGCAACCTGGATGCTAGGCGGGTCTCAGGACATCCGAACATCAATGCTGAGCGAAGTTGAATCAGTGACCCGGAAATATATAGCCCCAGAGAGAGAGGCACCGGAAGGACAGCAAAGCACAGGAAACTAGAGACAGGACAGAGTAGGAGCGCCCTCTGGCTGCAGAGGGCATGACAGTCGTCTGACCAGAAGGCATTAAAGGGGGTGATCTGGTCAGTCCAGTCCATCATTGGAGTACAGCTCCCCTCTATTTTTGATATTCTTACAACTCGCTGTCTCGGGAAGGCTGGAAGTATCGCTAAGGATACCAGTCATCTTGGTTTTCTCATTTTTCGCCCCCCTTCCCTCTGGCAAGCGTTTTAGGAGCATAAAGGTACGAGCAGTGCGAGCTGGCTCACACTGATGTTTTTTTTAAGTTGGATGTTATTTAAATTGTTGTTGCTGCTGCTGTTCTGTGTTTATGTTTTTGGTGTTTCCTTAATGTCTTTGTATTGGAGCATACATGAAAATAAGCATTTCATTGCACTTGTGTATACGACAATAAACTGAATTGAACTGAAGTGCCACATAGCGATCGTCTTTATCCAGTGAATCACCACGAAGAAGTACGCCACAGTACAGTGAAGCAAATTGCATCCCCCGTAATGTGTTAGTTTTAATGCACATTCTGAATGGCTACATCTGTACACTGATCATTCATTTCCAAGATGAAGTTAAAAATACAAGGCAAACAGCCCCAGGGGACATATTGATAGTTTTTAAATGGCATCAGATATCCTCCCTTACCAAATAGCTGTCTTTCTGTGGGTGTCTGTATTAAGTGTAGTTTTAATTCTTTTAGACTTATATACAAGGGCAGAGTGATGGCTCTGTGGCTAAGGATCTGCACCTGTGACTGGAAGGTTGCTGGTTCAAATCCCACAGCTGGCAGAGGAATCCTACTCTGTTGGGCCCCTGAGCAAGGCCCTTAACCCCAACTGCTCCAGGGGTGCCGTACAATGGGAGACCCTGCACTCTGACCCTAAACTTCTCTCCCTGTGTCTGTCTCCACGGAGAAAAGCTGGGGTATGTGAAAAGACAAACTCCTAATGCAAGAAATTGTATAGGGCTAATAAAGAAACATTACGTTACAGTACCTTGCACACTGCTGAGCATAACTGAAGTTATAACAACTTGTAGCTGTGAATGTGAAAGAAGTATGAAGATCAAAACAAAGTGTATTTTATTAACGTTGCCATCAAATATGATATTTTGTTGTGTTGATATCATTTCTTATTTTAGAAACTAACTTGTTTTACAAAATAATTTCTGGTCTGTGCTTTATTGCCTTTCATGTGTTCTTTTTGTTTTAACTGATGTATGATGCATACATTTAAATGCCATTTCCTACTCTTGGACCATTTCGTCTTTTTCCAACCTGTATACTGGCACAGTATGCATGGTGCTATATCTTGTATTATTGATTAAAAGATCCCCCAGTCCCAATGGGAAGCAGTTCAGACAGGGGTACTGGGGACAGAGAGAATGTAGGCACTCAGAATGATTAGTGCATTCTATAATGGTAACTACGGTGACCAGTGTGTGCTCCAGGCGCCATGGAGATGTTGAGTGTGTGGACTGCCTCTGCTGTGAACAGCTCAGCTCCTGACAGCAAGGAGCCAGGGAACCTTACTGATTTTTTCGTGCCGTCAGACTTTTCAGACTCTCAGCGCTCAGCTGGAGTTAAACGATTTGGATTTGTGTCCAAAAGTATTTGAAAAGCTACGAGGGGCTTAAATTAATTTAGTAAGATCCCTGCGTTGCTAGATCGGATTGGAAAAACAAATTCCACGTTTACCTGTGGGGCTGCAGTACTGTGGGGGGGGTCTTTAAGGAGTTCATAATACAAAACAAAACTAAAACTGGTGTTGGGGGGGGAGAATAGAAAAGTGAGGCATACAGTCAGTTACAGAACAGAAATGAGTGCTCTCTTAGGTTTTATTAGAGGATTTTAAGTTTTGCAAACTTGGTGGCATCAAGCCTCTTGCATTGTCCTATCACGTTGGAGTTTCCACCAATATTGTTTCAAAAGGTTCAGACTGCCAGTTTGTTTCTGTCATTGCCTATTATTACCACTCCTCTTTTATTATAAAGTTCATCTCACTTGATCAATGTGTGTGTTTTAGCCTTGATTTGTCTCCTCAAACAGAGGAATAGACACAAGTCATCTTTATGCTTTAGTGTTCTGTTTTCTCCTGACATACTGTACAGTGTCCAAATAATGCTGTTCTAGTTGAAAGAGCAGTCTGTGTGTGCTTAATTATATACACCCACAAACTGTACACAGTATTCTAATCTTTTTACCTGAAAGATTAATTAGAAAAAAGCTTAACAGCACCACTAAATATGGAAATATACAATGTATAATTGTGTGCAGTGTCTTAACTAACAGGTTTCAAACAAAGCCTCACTTAACGTCTTAAACTTAAAGTTTGTTTCTAGATTAAGGATATTGTATCTGAGCTGAGACACTTCTTGGTTTTCATATAGCTTTTATTAAGCAGTTTTAAATCTCCAGAACACTCAGCACAAAGGACACAGTGTACACATAGGTTCACTGGTTATAAAATAGTTTCACGAGGAATGACAACGCCCAAAATCAAAGCGTAACAAACTATTGTGGAGCGAATGTTTGGCTTAAAACGCTTGGCTGAGGGCCGACCTCCTGGCCATAGGACAAGGAGGCTAGGACCCCCTCGTAGGGTAACCAAGGGGCAGCTGCAGAGGTGGAGTTGGGGTGCAAAAGTCAGATGCGAGGGAGAGAGATATCGCATTTGGTATTTATAGTGTTCGGTGGAGGAAGGACGAAGGGAGTGATTGCTATTCACTGACGGCTGGGAATGATTGAGCGTGGTTGTTGTCATCCCTCCTGAACTTTCATTAAATAAATTCCATAAATGTAGAATGAGAAAAATATACATATCTGAATATATTTTACATTTATACATAAAAACAACAGTACACAAGACCACAAGACATAAGCACTTACAGGACTACTATGTACCAATAACAAAAATACCCCAAATCAGCCTATGTATCACGATCTGCAATGAGACCATTACATTTGTAATTAAATGTAGTCTCATAGGTACTATACATCTACACACTGTGTGATTTTATACAGGGAAAAAACGTCAAGCAGTCTATAGCATGGACTCAAGGACAAGATTTTACTGTGCAGTCAGACAAGATCTGAATGTTTATACTGAACCTAAGGACGTCTTGATGGAAATGCTGTAATGTTTTGTCAATATTTGTCAATGTTTTGTTGTATGTTAACAATTTTTAGTTAAACACACAAAGACCCAAACAACAATTATTTCATGGAAAATAAATGTATAGTTAGATGTTAATACACTGTATATTCTACGTTCCATCCCCTTATTAAGTTTCTGAAAATCAGTTTAATTATTACTAAAGCAGCTTTCAGGGTCTAATAGGCTTTTAATTAAAATCTTGATAAGAAACAAAAAACAGAAAACATGCACAGATGAAACAGTTCAAACAAAATGAATACTGACAGGTTTTCAATAAGAAATGCAAGACTGTCAGAATTAAAACATTACAAATTTGGTATCGTTCCACTGTTCTCTCTGCTGCCACTGAATTGCTATCTGGTCTACAAAGGAAATGACAGCTTTGTCTCTTACTGTAGCTGAACATCCTCTGAGTAGAACAAATCAGTTTTCATGCAGACAGCAAACTACAGTTTACAAGAATAATACTCAATAGAAAACCTCACTATTTAAATGTAGACTGTAAATAACATTGCTAATGTAAAATGTTCATTGTGAATCAGTATTTGTTCCAGTGGATAAAATAAAAGTTCCTTATTGTTTTCACAAACCAGATTATATTATCGCTTTGCCATTACAACTAATAAAAATCAAAACTTTAATATTCAAATGGTAGGGTGCTATTACTTAAATTTCATTCAGAATGTAAAATACTGGGATCAGTTTGTATAAAACGGTGCTTAAGTGTCTTTAATTACTTGATTACTTTAATTACTTGATTACATGTTATTTATGTTATGTTATCACAAGTTACTGTTATTGCTATTGTGTTACTGTCTATTGTCTTACCTTCTGTCCTATTTATATAATGCACCTGAGTGACTAATGAGAAACACTTTTCATTATACTATGCACCTGTGTAAGTTTAATGACAATAAAGTTTAATTGAATTGAATTGAATTTAACACAAAGAAGAATTACTTTCAAATTTCACACAGAATTATAAGGTCTCCATTTATTTCTAATCTGAGGAACAGACCTAAACCATTTTATGACAGTGCCAACATTTCACGACTAATCACAACTCTACCAGCACGTCACCTTAGTTTTCTGCATTTTAACTAGTCTGTCATCAACCCTCACGGACAGAACTATCAGGGAAGTTTGGATAATCGTATGTTTCTTGATTCTTCTCACAGTTCTTTCCTTCAATGCACAGCATCACTGGAAAATTCTACCTGATTCACTCCATATCATGTAATCCCAATACTCACTTCCTTAACCATGTCTGCTTTTTCAACTCTTCACTCCCTATCTTCCCCCCAAGCACAAAATTCAATCCTGTTTGGCCAGGGACACCACGCCACCCATAATGACCATTTGCACCCTTTGACACATCTGCAGCTGGGTTGTTCTCTCTTATTTCTCGCACTCAGAACACACGCCGGTCTCTGGATGCTCTCACCTGGGAGTACTCAGGACTACAGCTGAGCCGTGTAGACCTTCTCTCCTTATGCTTCGCATACAAATGACCACGCATACCTTCTGTCCAGCACTTGACACCCCACAGGCATGTAAGCCAGCTCAACCAATTGCTTTCAAGCCCTTCCTCTGCTGGTCCCAGAGACAGACTAAATGCCCTTCCTCCTGGCTGTTGTTATACACCCTCAGCTAGCACAGATGCATTGTCAATTCCACACAGCCCTCTCTCCCGCTTTCTAGCTGTTACCTTGGCTTTTCTCCGTAATCAATGGATTTCTCTTAAAGCCTCTTACTCCCTCACATATCTACAGTATTCTTAAAAATCTGTATGTAGCGTATGAAGGGTAAACACTGTTTATTATAACTCTGATTATGTTACAGGAAAAAAAAAATACATTCAGACCTTAATATTTTCAAGAAGCTTCCCAGACCAGAGGATCACTAATATTGAGCTGTTGTACATTTAAGTCAATAGCTATAAAAAGAAAATTAACCTTCTCTGGATACACCACATCGCTCATTTTATGCCAACAAACAGCTGATGAATAGAATAAAATACATTTAAAATAAACTTGCATGTTCTCAACTACCCGTCCTAAGTTCTTTTTTGACCATTTCGGAATTGCACTGAGCTGAAAGTGAACACAGAATATTAAATTCGCCTAACCATACCGAACACCACAGAATATACTTGGTGAGGATAGCCCAGCATTGTTTGAATAATATTTGTTTTACAAATGAAAGAAAATGTTTATGTTAAGGATACAAACCAAGAGATCTGCAGTCTCCTTATCTACAGTATTCTGACAAATGGTTCATCTTGATCTCTTTTGCATATTCAAATTTGTAAAAAAGGGTAAAGTTGTTTCACAAAACAGCCAAATACCCACATATTTCTAGGAATATGTGATGCACAAAATTGTGTCTTGACAACTTACAGTAAGTTATACAGTATATGGACTTATTTTGACTCGAGCTTTTAATCAGATCTGCATATATTTTGTATTAAGTATGCATATAGCTCTATATTCATATTTGTATTAATATTAGTTCATATTCATAAACATAGGATATGTACTTTTTGTGGTCTTCCCATCTCAAACTAGGAGTTTCATAGTATATTGGTTTATGATATTATGTGCTGATAATATTTTAATTAGGCTAAGTTTAAGAGTTATATTGTGTGTTAAAAGTACTTCTGAAAGGAACTGCAAGCTATATTATAAGATCAATTAACATAATCATTATTTTATCAATATTTTATATCAGTATTTATCAATATCATTATCGCATGCCCAATAAATAATCCCTGATCAGTATTTGTACCTCCACCGAGTGTACGCCTCCTTCTGCATTTGTATTTTACATATATACAGTACATCCTATAGATTATTGCAGATGTGTAAAGCATGAAAATGCTAAACCGGATTAGTTAATTGCTTAACATAAAAAATAACCGTTTCTCTAAAATGGCCCTTAAGTTTTGATCAGTTTAATATAAAAAAATAAAATACCCGTTAAAAATGGTCTCATTGGCATGTTTCAGCGAGAGAACTGCTTCCACATCGATTCCGGATCCATCGACACCTACTGTAGGTCTGCAATCAGCCATTGTAATGAGCTACAAGCAACACGGGCGGCTTTGATGCGTCCCAAGAGGACCCCCTCTCGCCCACGCTGTCGGTGCGGTTCTGGATGAGAGTGGAATGGCGACCCGCAGAAGTCACCACAAAGTTGCGGTTGTCATTGATAGCCCGGCGAGCAGCACGGCACGGCTTCGTGGTCTTGGATGAACTCCTAACGCTGGAGCCATTCGCTGGGCGCTGGCACATCAGGAAAGCACGGAAACATCTGTAGAACTGAGACAGAAGGCAAAAACACGATCAAATCGGAAGATGTGAAAATCTTCAATTCGTGATACATAGGAGTGGAGCAGATGGCTTGGTGATTCTTACGCTTTTTTGTCCATTCTTTTCCGATATTCCTTTGGCTTTCTGCACTTTGCTTTATTGAATCAATCCGGTTTTTACTTTTAGAGAAGTAATAATGTGGAGCAATTATTACTGCAATTCGAATTTCAGTCACTCGTTTTAAAACTCCCAAGACTAAATTCATACCACGGGGATGTTTTTAATTTTTGAAAAAAACAAAACAAAAACCTTGCAAATTAAAATCCACATTGCTTGGAAATTAATTTGAGAACAAAGCTCATAAAAAGGCAAATGCAAAATTGTTCAAATCATTCTAGCATGTTCTATTAGTGGCTAATGTTCTTCTTCCTCTATACTACACTACAAGTAGAGCCTGTATCTTTCAGATGTTTTTCCTCCCTTTTTCACAGACTGGAGCTTTAATGCTAATTATTTGTTAATCTCTCTAATAGGATTAAATGCTCGCCTAATTACGTCTCAGATACATATAAAGTTATGTACATTTTTATTGCAGGACCGTTGCTTAGCCTAGTACTTTAATAATTGAAAAGATATTTGTTGGGAAGCTGAATGAATTATGTTACAGTTCTTTGATTTTCAATGTTTTGTCCACTTTAATCAAAGATGTTATATTGTGAAACTGTTTTCATGTTTGTACTGTAAATAGTCCATGTAGACACCATTAAGACTTGTAGTGATTTTCTAAATTCTTTTCAAGTTTATAAGGCTTATATAGTGTATACCGAAACTTACATGTGGTAACACAATGAATTCAAAAATGGTAACCTGAAGAAGGCTTCAAGGCCGAAAAGTGTTTGCTTTCTCCCTTTTTTTCAGCATGGAATAAACCTATTACTTGTTCCTTTGCAGCCTATGCCTGCTGACGCAGCTCCCAACCTGAACTATCTTAAGTCAGCACAGAATGTGTCGATCAACCTAAAGAAGCCAAATGCTCCCTATGGACCCTGAGTTCCCATCATCCCTCATATTGTACATGGATGTCAATGAGTATTTTTAGAGAGACTTTAAGAGTTATCAGTGCAAAGTCGATATGCAGTAGGAGACAACCACAAGTTCAGATTACATTTTCGATATTAAGACTTACTGTACGTTCACATGCTTAAGTCTTACTAAGAAAAGCGTCACTTTTTTTAAGTGCTTCTGATGAACCATACAATAGCAGAAGTGTGCTAGAGTGCTCAAAAAGGACAGAAAAAAGTGGATGCATTTACCTACTTTTGGGTCATGATTTATGCTTGAAAAAGACTAAAAACACATTTCAATACAATGAATTGCCTGCTTTAAACGTTTCTGCACACTCTTGTTATTTGGGGAGCATGATGGTGAAGAGTTAAATGTACATTTTCTCATGTAGTTACATTCAGATTTTTAAACCTTAAATGTCATTCAAGTACAAGTGAGTACCAGTTGAAATCACCCTGGGAGACCTAAGTGGGCTTTTATCAACTTTGTATTTTTTAGTACAAATCTTTGCATCTAGTGTGCCAGTGACACCAAAAAGGTGTGAGGAGGTTTACTGTACATACGTTAGACTTGCTCCGGTTATCATTCAGCTCATGCTAATGGAACCGATATATTCTGACAAATCTTTGCACATCAGGAAGGAATACAGCCAACAAACACAACAAGACTAAACGCTGAGCTACCAGTACTTCCTTTAATGACATCATGCCCATCCATCCATTTTCTAACCCCTTTATCCACACAGGGTTTAGGGGAGACAGAGCCTATCTGGTCAAGCAAATGGGCGTAAAGCAGGGTACACCCCAGACAGGATGCCATCACGGGGCACACATAGACACAGGTACTCACAGGCGCACACCAGAGGCAATTTTCCCAGAAGCCTATTTACCCAACAACATATCTTTGGACTGTGGGAGGAATCCAGATGAAACCTACAAGAATATGGGGAGAACATGCTCCACATAGCACACATGCAGCAGATTAGAACATGGAAGATAAAAGATTGCTTAAATTCAGATGTTAGTAAGTGACAAAATGTAATCAATGCCCAAGAGTCCATTCTTACAATACAGCTTTATGATATGACATTAGGTCATTAGTAACATGAAATTGGTTTGGATTTAATATTGAAAGTATTTTGTATATTTTATACGTTCATGACGATGACTTAGTTAATTGAACCCCAGCTACTCCTGCTCCTTATGTTAAGGTTTCTTTCGCTGACTGAATGGGTAAATTACATTTACACCACAAATCAATGGAAGTCCTCACTTGCACACGAAAATCTGTATTTTACCAATTAATGAGGAGGTATTTTAACGAACAATTATTAGGGAAATGTTTTAATGATTTACTGCACACACTATTGTAACAAAACAGTATTACTGTTATAGGTGGAATGAATATTTTTGTTAAGCAGCAAAAAGAGAAATAATATTCAATGACATGCATTGCTAAGTTTGCCAGTACAGTGAGACCAATGTGGATTGGAGTTCAGACCACGGAGGAGACCTGAAACCATTATAACCTATCAATGGGATAATTTGGTAGATACAGTATACCACTATCTTCCTGAAAAACTGTTTCTGAGGAGAGTGCATTAATTGCAGGGTCTTATTCACACTACAAGAATATGATTATTTTATCAAGGATCACCGATATTGATCTATTGAACAAAATGCTTTTGATTTCTTGTCAATTTGGTGCACTCTGTATACTGATACGAAATAGGTTCAACATTGCAGGTGAAATGAAACTTTTTCAATGCTGTTTATTAAGATTATTTCTTATGTCTCGGCTTGGGTTGATGCAGTTTTCCTCAAGAAAACGTAGTGTACTTAGTATACTGTTGATGTGGAAGGTACACTTATAGTATACTACATTTTTCTAAGGAATGCCAAAGTTACAGTGATAAGTATATCAAAAACTGCTTAACTCTTAGATTTTATCTTTTCATATTTCTTTAAATGTCTTACAGTTTTAGAAAAATATAAAAAACATGTTATGACAAGTATGCTGCATTAATATAATTAGTAAATAACATTACTTTCATTATTATAATCAATGGAAATGATTGATTATTATCAAGAATGGGTTTAAATACTGTATAATTTTTCACAGCCAATATCTGGTAGTGACATGTACAGTATTTTGATTTTCAGAACTTTTCATTTCTTAAATACTGTGCAAGCTCTTGGGAACTGGCAAGGAACAAAAAAAAAAACAGAGCACTTCAGTTTATATTAATCCAAAACAACACAAGGCAGAAACGGAGGTCACTGTTACTGGCCGTGACTGGGAAGTTCCCTTGATAACTGCCCCATTCGGCCAAGCTGTAAATGGCTATTTGGTGTAAGATTAGCGAGCATTAATGCTGTCGAGCATGAAACAACTGTTAATATTTCCCTGTTCAACTTGAGCAGTAAAACATTACAGTGGGCTAGCTCTAAGCTGATTACAGCAATATGTATAGAGGTAAATGGTAAATATTTATATTTTAGGAGCCTTTCATAGGTTTGTGGCATTAGAAGAGTTTTGATCAGACAGAATATGTTTACGTTTTTGGAATTAAACCACAGAGTGAACAGGAAACAATCCAGACCGCAATCATAGTTTTGCTAAGAATTCGTATTGTAGATAAAAAAAATGATATTTGGAGTGCTTTATAGATTCATGTTCAAGAAGCCCCAAAAGCTGCTTTTCAAGATTTCATCATTCAATGTCTTTAATGTTGCACTCTGAATAACAATCAAAGAAGAAATGAATACATTAAGTGTGGCATTTTTAAACTTATTTCCTTTGTCAAAAGGCTGCAATGTGTAAAGATTAAAACCAAATGCAAAAAAATCATATATGATGTTTGAAGCCAAACAATTTGAAATGAAACAACCAACATTGATGAGATCAATCAATTTCTGATAAGCATGTTCGTTAGACATGAAGCTGCTTAAAGGTTATTATAAGTATTTGGACAATGGTTTTGGCTATTTCTCAATTTTTTCAGTTTTCCAAGAGCTTAGTAAAATAACTCTAAATTTGCTATGTATTAAAATTAAAAGTGACCAAAACCAATAATGGATGTATGATACTGATATTAAACATGCCACTGCTGAAACACTTATACAGTATGTGATGTGATGGGAATAATTTCTATTTTCCTAGATATTTGCTACTGCATGATATTTTGGGCATCCAAGCAAACAAAGTGAAAATAGGAAACATTCTCAAAAACGTTTTGTTTCATAGCACCTGGTACTTCAAATGCATTTCAGTTTTCTGCTTAAGGTCATGAGCATGTAGAGCTCAGTGCTGCTTATTATCCTTCTGCAGAACTGTCAGAGGTTTGCTGCTGAATCTCCAGTGAGGTGAGGTGCCCTGAACTTTGATTTGGTCACCTTAGGTTTTTCCAATGGGTAACTAGATTCAATGGACTAACCCATAAGGATTTTTCCAGTTCTGTTTTGAGGTCAGTTTTTCAAATGATTTTCTAAACATTGTTATGCCAACACATCAACAAAGTACCCAGGGTTTATGAACAGCCTACAAAGGCATGTATAATGTCCCAGATGACCCAAACAAAAATAAAACCAAATCCTTTACAGTTTCTATTAGGTGAGCATCAATGATAGATTTTACATAAATGTTTATTTTCCATGCCCAGTAAAGGGATTTAAGGAATCCTGCTAACAATTAATTTGACACTCTTACAAGTTCTTCTGTGCTAATAGAATCTTTCTGTTCTAAATTTACAGATCACGAGAACTTTTTGTCAGGATTAATGAGCTATAAAGTTTAGTTGGAAGATAATTAGCATACAATATAAGAGAACTGAATAACAATAAATTTCACCTGACAGGAGTGTAGGGTCTCTTTCCATGCACACCAATTATCCAGGAGCAGGTGTTTCACGGTCTCTGAACATTGCCTGACTACCATCATTTTAC